CCTTCCCTCTAGTCTTACACTGCTAAATTAGGGACGGCTAGCGCAGATAGCCCTCGTGTAGCTTTGCGCGAAATTCCAAAACAAGCAAACAAACAAACTATATAAATATAATTGTACTGTCTGTTGTCTATATAAATATAATTGTACCGTCTGTTGTCTATATAAATATAATAGTACTGTCTGTTTCATTAATCGTGAATTTACACAAATTCAGTCCAGGGGACGGGAACTCCAGGACTTTGAAAGGTGTGGGTTAATTATATATATATTTACGAACAAGCTATAGACTTACGAACTGGATATTAATAATTAAGTTTATATTTTCCTTATGAATTCGAAACACTGCTACGATAACATATCCTATTTGCGTTGTTATTCAAGATTAGCAAATGTATATAAAAATAGTAACAGTAAAATTCGATCTTAAAATATGTATTTTCTTTTATGGCCCGTCATCGCCAGGTGGTTAAAGCGCTCGACTCGCAGTCTGCGGGTTCGAATCCTCCGTCCTACCAAACATGCTCGCCCTTTCAGCCGTGAGGGCGTTATAGCGTGACGGTCAATTCCACTATTGGTTGGTAAAAGAGTGGCCCAAGAGTTGGCGGTGGTTGGTAATGACGAGCTGCTTTCCCTCTAGTCTTTCACTGCTAAATTAGGGACGGCTAGCGCAGATAGCCCTCGTGTAGCTTTGCGCGGAATTCAAACCGAAACTATTTACTTTCATTTGAACTCGTGGTAACACGCGGAAACGTAGATTTCGATCATTCGAGGCTTTCAAATTTAGCAAATTCCTGTTAACCAGGTAAACGCACAAATTGATTATCACTGCTAATGATGCTTGTTTGTTTGTTTTAGAGAAAAAAACCATATTGGACTATCTGCTGTCTCCACCGAGGGAGAATCGAACCCCGGATTCTTGCGTTGTAACTTTAACTCACTACTTTCCTTTCTTGTTGGACAAATTTTAATCTTGTCTTTGGAATTAAGCACAAAGCTACACAATGGGCTATCTGTGCTCTGCCCACCACGGGTATCGAAACCCGGTTTCTAGCGTTGTAAATCCGCAGACATACCACTGTGCCACTGGGGGGCTTTTCTGGTTGTTTTGTGAATTTTTTTTTTTGTCTAACGCCAACATTTCTAGCCTGAGAATTGAGTCTTTTTATTAACAGCTGAAATATTGTGATAGTGGTTAAGTAGGAAAACGACGTAACAGCATTAATAGGGATATTCTCATTTTTTATTTTAAATCTTCCTATAAAAACGTTAAAACGTGGAACCTTGTTGTTTCATTTGCTATTTTAGGTAAGACATTGTTGGAATGCACTATTCGGTTGAGTAAGGCAAAGCTACATGAGGGATATCTGCGCTAGCCATCTCTAATATAGCAGCGATAAACTAGAGGGAAGGCAGCTAGTCAACACCACCCACCGCCAACTATTGGGCTATTTTACCAACGAATAGTGGGATTGACTGTAACGTTATAACTCCCCCACGGCTACAAGGGCGAGCATATTCGGTGACAGAGATTCGAACCCGCTACCCACACACATATTGCGAGTCGAGCGCCTTAACAACCAACCAGGCGAGAGAAAGGGGGTGAAATGTTTGATTGTCATACTGATGAAAATGGCTCCTTTAAAGACCTAAGTCTGGTTTTAAATCAGTCATAATATTTTGAAAGAAAATATGCGTTTTTTAAAAATCAAACAATATCTTTTTATCAAACAATATGTTTTGTTAAACAATATATTTTATCTTCATTCGAACCCACAACCTTCTGATTGCGAGTTGAGCGCCTTAACTATCAGGCTATGTAGGACTTGTATCAAATATGAGTGAAATGGTCAAAGCGTTTGGAAAAACCAACTTGTGAATTTTTAAAATGAAAACTTATCTTGCTCAGTCAATTCCGTGTTTGATTCCCCCGGCGTACAAATCGCAGATAGCTTTGCTCTAAAACAAAACAAACAGATTGTTCAGGTAATAAAGAAAATACTAATTAAATGAGTGCTTTAGTATAAAAGGAGAATTCGTTCCAACTCCCACCCCTCGTCTAGGCACAAACTCGTGATATTTGATTGTTTAGGAGTTATCTTTCTTTGTTTGAAAACTTTAATGTGTCATTTAAAAACAAACATACCTGGTAATATAAGACTGAAGAGGAGGTTACGGAAGAGTTATTTCCAATCATCCCGATCCCTAGTTGGCAGAGTTGTTTCCCAGGTTTGGGGGAATACCTTCTTTCAACGTTAAATCCCCAACAGCCGTTTTTATGGTGTTTAAGGCATGCTGTCGCGCATTCGGCTTTTGAGTATGCCGAAAATTCAATATATATTTGTTCTGGTGGTAAAACAACACCTCTTGGATACAAGCAGAATTTCTCATTGGACAGAACTCGGACTGCAACGAATAACAAAGAAATAGAGATCAAATATGATCTCAATATAATATCGCTCATTGATCTTGATTACAGTCTTTGAAGTCTTGAGAATAAAAATCTTTTGTTACCTTTACGTTCCATTGATATTTATACCTTGTTGAAAATAATCTCATTGGCTAAAGGGATCGTTTGACGTAACAGTCCAGAAAAGTTTCGATTTTACATTATTGAAACGAATAAGTGTTAGTGTAATGTTGTAGGGTTATTCGTAATTAATGTTATAAGACAAATTCACCCCTAGACACGTAAATGGTCAATTAGCCTAGTTATCTCCGCCCATATAGATTTTAATTGCTTTATAACTATACGGTGAATAATAATAAATAAATAAAAAAACAGTCAGGTCTCTCATAATTACACAATGGGCTGTCTGTGCTCTACCCAACGTGGGCATCGATACCAAATTTGTAATGCTATAAGCCCTCAGACTTACCGCTAAGCACCAGGGGAAGGGAGAGTAATATAAAGCTACAAACTACAGAATACTAAATGTAGAATTCATCTTCAGAGGAAGAGGTACCTGAAGAAGAAGGGCATAACTCTGGGGAAACGCTATCTATGAAATATCAACAAATATCCTGAGTGTATCAGTTAAGCCTATTTTGGTCATTTCTTCTTATTGTTACTTTTATTATGGAATCAAGAAATGGTTAGTTAATTTGAACTTGGTTCAGAAGCTCCTAACTTTTAATATATATATATTAACATTAAATTTTCTGGAACACAACTTTTT